CCTCGGTTTTACATCTCATCCAAAGGACGGCGCTTTGTTTTACAGTATAGTGTCCCCATCACTATACTGGGGCATTAGGACCCACACAGACCGCAGGGTGAGCGCCCCCTGCTGGCCCCACTAACACCTCTTCCAGCAGCAACCTTAGTTTTTCCCAGGAGTCTCTCATCCAGGTACTGGCCAGGCTCACACCTGCTGAGCTCCAGGGGGTTGCCAGTTGTGAGTTGCAGAGTGATATGGGTGCTGGGTTTGCTTCATTAGTGCTGCACTTCTGCTGGTTTGTACCTTCCTAGCTGCTTTGCTGGGTAATCTCCTAACCCTATACGGCGACTTTGCGAAGTTCAAACACTCTATAACTGGCTGTGAGGATAAGGATGTCGTCCTGTATGCCGGGGGTGGCAGAGAGGTTGATTTTGTATTTAATGCACGTATTTTCTGTGCGTTTGTATAAACAGGAAAATTAAATTTGTAGCTTATATCATACTGCAATCACAAGAGTCTAGCCTTAGTTTTAATTCAATATTTGTCAATATTTTTTAAACCTGAAGTACTCAGTTTCTCCATTTTAAAGATAAACATCAAGGTATGTTTAAAGATTTAATGCGTCTTTCGAGCCACGAATTTAAAAATTCTATTTAGTAAAGAACCAGGAAATTGTTTTTTAAGGGGTCCTATGTACTAATTTGTCCTAGGTAGTTCATAACATACGTGCAAAACAACATTGGACACTCTTATATATGCAGTTCTCTAAATTCTGAAATATTTGAAGTTGTATTTTCATATAAAATAATTTAACATATAATCTGATTTCTTTTTAAATTGCATTATCCATGTCTTTGTATTCAGTACCAACATAAAAGCACTGTTTTGTATTATAATTGTTTTTATGCTTTATCCCTTTATAGATCTTAATAAACTGCTGTGAATGTTAATTGATTATTCTGACAAGCTTTGGGTGTGTGAAGTGAGGGTTAGGGTGGGGTACTGGGGTGTAGAGAATTGTAAATCACACATTAAAAAAAGAAAATGAAAACAGATTGATTGGTAAGATTGAGGCGGCGCGGCACACTCTATACTTTGTGTGCACCATCTCTTTTCTACAATCATCATCTTTTGTCTGATGAACCATCACTATTTTATATTCTTCAGTCTCTCTATTCTAAAACCCTCAGTCTCACTT